TATTTATTTATGAAATAAGTCTCGATAATTTTATATAAAGCGATGTGCCAGATTAGCTTCTTTCCAACGGGAAAATGACAGTTCTCTATCTTATTCCTATCAAAAGTCATTCAAAAAATACCCATCCGCCTTCTATTTTCGACCGGGTAATAGCCATTTTACCGCTCCCTTCCTACATTTAGGGTCAGTTTATTATTTAGAACAAACCGGTTGGGTGCTTTTGTGTGGGTATAGATATGGAGTGCATTTGATCTGTGGTTGTTTTGTTAAGGGGTGTTGTTGTCAGTGTGTACAAGCGACTCATTTTTGAAGATTCGCTTCCTACTACCACATCTAACAACCTTTGTTGTCAGAATACGCTTTCAATATATATATCAATTATCCATAAAGTAACCCACACTCTTGAACACGCTTGATACAAGAATTCAATTGAAAAAATCTGTGTGTGTGTGTATGAGAAAACAAAAGATCGACATCTGCAAGGGTGAAAAAGCTAACTTCAATCTCTTTGAGTCCCACAGAGTCCCTTGGAGTTCTGTGGAATCCTGCAAAGTTCTGGTGAAGTCAGCTTTTTCTCCCTTGGACATCTGTCACTAACGTCTAAAATGCACACCCACATATCCATGCTCTTGATAAATAGAATCAATGACGCTCGAGCACGTTGACCCGCAGCATGGTCTACACTAATTGTCCGCCGAGTGTTTTCGTCCGAACAAGTTAATGTCAAAAGATGCGTCTTGATGGGATGTATCTTTGGTAAAAAATGAGAATTCCAGTATCTCTCGCACCTTTTGACAAAAATCCCAAAATAACTCCATCCAGAAAGAGGAGTTTGTTGTGGTTTGAGCCATTGTTCATCTGTAGCATTCCTCTCGCTCCACACATATGCCACTTGAATAAACTGAATTTCTACTCTTCGATATTACCTATCTAGTGAGATGTTTCCGATCTTAAACGGTCAAGCTGTTTATAAGAAAATCTCAAAATATTGAGCGCATCCACTTTTAATGGATTTTTTAGAGCCAATATAGACTCTTCGAACTATTTTTAGTTCGGGTTTCTTATAAGTTAAATCAAATGACCTGATATTTTCCATATAACTATGGTTTTACTAAGCCTTTCAAGTGAGATAATAAAATGAAAAAGAGGTTCTTATTCCTGGTGCCTTTGGGTAGTTCTCTCGCAAATCCTTTCCTAAGACTACATGATTTAAGATCAGGCATATGATCTTAATCAAGCTCTTCCAAATTCTTACAATAAATCATACTTACATGTTTATGGGTGTATGGCGACTTATATTGAAGACACTATGGAGCAATAGGCTCTTCCAATTTCGTTTAAAAAAATGGAGCGAATAATTTTTTTGGCTAGAATTTAACAAGTGTTCGACAATAACTCTTTCTTACAAAAATTATACGATGTTTTTTCAGCCGCTGCTGTTTTTTTATCAACGCTTTTTTACCGTTCTTTGGTTAAATGAATTTTGAAGCCTTTCACCTTCTTTCTCTTTCATTACTTGAATGCCATTAAAACACAGTTTGAAGTGAAGAATGAGTGAGCAGTGTTTGACAATCAATAGAAGGAAGTAAGTATCATACACTTTGTCATGACTCTTTACTTAGCTATTCTTGGAAAAAACCAACCGCTTCAGGAGCCACAAATGATGCTGAGTACAGCAAAGTTGGCAATATTAAAAGCAAAATCACGCCATAAATATCAGGATAGTAACAAGGTAACATTCGTCACATTAAGATTACATTCTCGGCTAGTAACTTCGATCACCAGGTTATATGAACTTTTGTTCTAAGGTGTAGAGAAAGAGACTTCTTTTCTGTTTTACACGCGGCTGTCTCTGAGCTATTAAAAGAATAAGTAATGGCACGCGTTCAAGGTTCATTTATATTAATGCGTGATTCAAAAAATAATGAGAGCAAACGAATCTCTCATGTACGAGTACGTCCTATGAGTTCGCCTAACCCAATGCGTCCAAAAATCACCGAATTGTCTAAAAGAAAACGCCATTCTATCGATGACGTCCGTTTACTAAAATCCTATTCAAGTAACGATGAGAATGGTAGTACTGTCCAACAATTTCAAACAACTGCGAGCACAATACGTTCGGATGATCTCTATGATTCCGATCTTAATTCAGACAATGAGGATGCACGACAGAATCATCACACTGCCAAAGGATTATATTTCTATAACTGTAAAAATCAAGGTGTCCCATCGTCGTCTGCGTTCATAAATATTCTTGATTCAGCAAGTTCATGTGTTGAAATGCGTTACGCAGCCATGAAACCAGTTGACATCAAAGTAATGATACCATCCTTGAAAATAAGTACAACAATTACAAAATTAGATCTAGCTGGTAATGGTTTTGGATCGATTGGTACAACTTATCTAGCAAAATTAATAAAAGATAGTGAATATATAGTAGAGTTAGACCTCTCTTACAATGATATTGGACTAACAGGTAGGACCTTTCACTTTCAGATTACATCATCATAGCTGGGACACCTTGCTTTCAGGACTAGTCTGAAAGAGCCGAGATTGTCCCAGGGACCACCTTGAGAGGAACAGACGATGCTGGTTGACCAGTCTGCCATTTACAACTGCAGCGCCTACCAACTTTTCATGATATGATGCACCAGCGCCATCAGTTCAAATAAACTCGAAAGACCGTTACATAGGACGCGGGCTTGAATGTAGATATAGGCATGTGTGAACATAGGTGTGGGTACCAGTATGGGTGTAGGCGTACTTACACTAGAGACAGAAGAAGATGCAGTTCCGTACTCACACTCATATTCAATACACCTATGCCCGCACTCACTCTCACGCCATAGTTAAGTGCTACAATAAGAGAAGCGACTACAAACCGGTCGGTAAACTTTTCATACCAGGACCGGTCTAAGCGGTTGATGGTTTACCCCTATTTTTGTGTACTCGAAAAGTGAGTACACTCTAGAATCGGTCAGTGTGTCCGGCCGTCTGGCCGTTTACACGATAACTTTCGAAAGAAAAGTCTGATCACGATGAAATTTTGTACACAGTTCAGTCTTTACAATATCTCGGTCGAGTTCGAGAATGAACAGGATCGGCCGAGTCGTTCTTAAGTTATTACAAAAATGCCGGTTTTTTCCCCTATGGCTTCCTTAGAGAAATCGACATATCCGCACTTTCATCAAACACTTTCCCTATCATAGTCAACTATGTCCTCAACTATTATTAGGGATGCAACGGTGACGATAACCGGTCTAATCGGTAACCGGTCTAACGGTAACCGTTCGACCGGTAACCGGTGTGAACCGGTAACCGTTTCACCGGTAACCGGTGTGAACCGGTAACCGTTTCACCGGTAACCGGTGTGAACCGGTAACCGTTTCACCGGTAACCGTTCAACCGGTAACCGGTGTGAACCGGTAACCGGTATGAACCGGTGACCGTTCAACCGGTAACCGGTTCAGATC